GCAAAACAGGCGGTGAAGCTCTGGAGATGAGCAGTGTGGGCTGGCTGTCCCCCTTGTGTGCAGGGGCTTTGTACCCTGTGTGTGGCCTTTGCATTCCTCAGTTGGTGGGACTCTGGCTTGGGGCTCTGGCTTAGGGCCCCTGCTGTTGGCTGGGTGCCTGTAGGGGGTGCCAGGCATTGGGTTGGGTAAGGATGATGTGGCCTCTTGCAGGGCAGCTGTGAGTTGATCCAATCTCCCTCCTGCAGCCTCATCTTCCACATCTGTAAAGTGGTTCGAGTGACTGAGGCTGCTTGACTGGACCTTGCCCGCAGGCTGTGGCGCCCCTCTGGGAGTCCTGGTTTCGTTATCTCTACCTTCGGTGCTGTATGTGTGCCTCCTGAATTTTGTGCACATCCATTTCAGAAGTCTCATTGCCAAAGGGACGAGTGATCCCTTTATGACGAGGGATAGGGTGGCCAGGGGTAGGTGGGACTTCTGAGGTTCTGTCACCTCTGTGGTCCTCAGATGGAGACGGTCACCCCTTGTAGTGCCTGGTGGGTGTGGGGTATTATAGGAGCCTGGAGTCCTAGAGGGAAAATCCACATGGGCGTGTGTGGTTCCTGAACTCACAGGTGGGGTGGGAGGTGACCAGGAACAGAGCCCAGGGGTCACTTGTGGCCTTTCCACATCCATGCCCCAGCCTCTATCTGCACCTGCTCGTGTTGGGTACAGGCTGGCTGGAGCCCCTTGGGAGATTTGCAGGAATCCCCTGTGCCAAGAGCAGGTCCCGGGCACAGTCAAGTCTCTGGAGTTGTCTGAATGGGTAACATATGAGTTGATGAATGAATACGTCTTCTGAGCCCCGGGCGGCGGGTATTGGGATATGTTCATTTGCAGATGGGAAAAAATAGTCTTTTAAGACTTGAGTTGTCACACAGGTGCTGGGGGAATGTATTAGATTTGTACCTCATTCTCCCCTTAGAGCTTAGAGGCCATCTTCTGTGTCATGTATCCAGCATACAGGCATTTTCTATGTTCTTTATTGTATCTTCTACATATAACCTGTAGACATGGTGTGTGCTACTAAAACATACATGTGTGCAGTCTGCAGCATATACATAGGTATGGCACATACACAGCCTGTGTCATGTGTGTTCTATAGGCATACACACTGCATAGACAATATTTGCTGGTGAATATGGGTGTGCTGTAGTTATATGAGCCTCTTGGTCTCATCTATCTGTATATACTGTCACATGTGCTGTTATTCTACACATTAGGTTCCAAGTACATACTGTGTGTATTCTGTATGAAGTCTTCCTGGATGCCATGTATGTGTGTTCTATACAGGTATTTGGGAACATCTGACATGTGGACTTAATATTTGCAGACCTGTTTGTACACAGTACCTGCAGTGTTCTATCATAAACAGATTTGTGAAACAGAGCCAGGGGAGAACAGAGGGATAACAGGGTCTCTGCAGGAAATACAGCTCTCACACTGAATGATTAATAAATGGGCTATTGACAAATTCTTCTTGAACACATAGGCAGGGTTGGGGGGCAGCAATGAGGGGTATGTGGAACACCAGCGGAGAGCGATTAACACACCAAGGGTGCAGGTCTTGGAACTTGTCGAGAGTAGCTGCTGTGAGCCTGCTGGCAGATGCAGCTTCATTGCCGAAGTCCTCTTCCCTTCCTCTAATCTACTGGGGCTGTCCAGTGGATGGACCCAACTGGAAACCAGAGGGCAAAGGGACACTTGCTGTAGCTCCCACGGTAGAGAGCAGGCTGTGGTTGGGAACACCTGAACAGGACCGGGGAGGATACCCTGCACCGCCTTTTTCCTGGAAGGCCTGGGGAGTTCTGAAACTTGTCTCTCGCTTTAGAGGGAATGGTCCTGTTCCCCAGACCACTGGGCCCCCAGGAAATGTGTTAATGTGGAAGACCCCTGAACCTCAGTGCTGTTCATCTCCCATACTGTCATGCATGTGTCTTACCAAGGGATATCATCGATGCAGTGGACCAGTGAGAAACACGGTGTCAATGATCAAGTGTTTTCATGCTCTAGTAAGACAGCAGAATTGACATAAGCCTGAGACAGGACATACCAGTGTACTGCTGTCCAAGCCCTGCCAAGGCAAACTGCTTCTTATTTTTACTAGCAGGAACAGAAGTCAGGGTGGGGGACTGTGGCACCTGGTATGCAGTTTTTGACCCAGAAAATGCTGTGTTGACTTCTTCTAGTAAATATATCACATACGGAACATTACCGCTTATTAAGTTTCCAACAACCTTCTGTTATTCTCCAGCATTCCAGCTGGCTTTTTTTGTATCAGCTCTATGGGTGAGCTATATGGAGATAGAGTAGGATTCCCACCCCTGCAATCTTTTATATTTACCCTACTTGTTTGCCAAGATGTGCCTTCTTTCCTGAAGACCTAAGTTTCCATCTGGTGTCCTTCTCCCCAGACAGAGCAGCCTTCAGTAAGCTTGTTGTACAGATATGCTGGTACTGAACTCTGTTGGTTTTGCTTAATTTGAAAATGTCTTTGTTCTGCCTTTCTTGAAGGATAATTTCTCTGGATGTGGAATTCCCAGTGAGCAGTCTTAGTTCTTTACAGCCGTGCTTCCACTGCTTCCTGGCCTCTGTTGCTTATGTTTAGAAGTAAGCAATATTAGGTTGCTGTTTCCCTGTATGTGGTATAATTGTTTTTCTCTGGCTGCTTTCATTATTTTCTGACTTTAAGCAGCTCGACTCTGGCGTGTGGTTTTCTTTGTATTTGTCCTGCTTGGGGTTCACTGAGCTTCTTGAATCTATAAGTTTGTGTCTGTCATCAAATTTAGCTTTTTTTGAGATGAAGTCTTGCTGTCACCCAGGTTGGAGTGCAGTGGCGCAATCATGGCTCATTGCAACCTCCGTTTCCTGGGTTCAAGTGATTCTCCTTCCTCAGCCTCCTGTGTAGCTGGGACTACAGGTACATGCCACCACACCTGGCTAATTTTTGTATTTTTAGTAGAGATGGGGTTTCACCATGTTGGCCAGGCTGGTCTCAAACTCCTGGCCTCAAGTGATCCCCCTGCCTTGGCCTCCCAAAGTGCTGGGATTACAGGTGTAAAGCACTGCGCCCGGCCTAAATTTGGCTACTTTTGGCCAATATTTCTTCTTTTTCTTGTCTCATTCTCTTTCCTTCTGGGACACCTTTTGATATTGCCCCACAGCTCCCCCAAGGCTTTATTTTCCATTTTTATTCCTCTCTGCTTTTCAGATTGGATAATTTCAATTGATATATATATTCTCTTTTTTTCAGCTTTTCTCTTTCCCCACCCTGTCCTTTCTGGCCTAACTTTGTCACATCATCTCTTCTTTCGTAAGGACTAAGGGGTGTCAGAGCTCGGTGCTAGCTGGGATTGAGGGCCAGAGAGGATGGGGAGAAGGCCTTCTGGAGGCAAATATGTGATGTTATTTCTCAAGTGACAGTTTGGCCCATGGGGGTAGGTAGGTCATGGCACATATTCGCACCACCAGAGACAGGCAGACTGAGCCACAGGCAATGAAGCCCTGATGGAGAAACGTGAGGTAGAGCAGTCAGGGGCAGCTTCCTGCAAGAGGCAGTGGTAGAGGATCCTGGGGTCTGGTAGATCCGTACTGTGTATCAGACTCTGGGCTAGGAGCTGTCTGATCTCGGCAGATCCATACAACGCCACCTATCCCATGTAACAGATAAAGACACATGGGTTTGGAAAAGCTTATGGAACCCAAGGTAAAGAAGCAAGCTAAGTGACCATGAACATGTGACAGGGTTACGTCCGGGAACTCTGTCTCGATGGGCAGGATTTTAGATGTTGGAAGACCAGGTACATCCCTCAAAAATTTCGGTCCAAATATTGTCCATGATCCAGGTTTTTATTCTGGGTAGTGTTAGTGCCACAGTTTGAACCTACTGAGTCCCTTGTTCCTTCTGCTGTATTGGGAAGAGCCCATCCTGGTTCTGACGTTGTCGCTGACCAGCTGGGTGACCCTGCAGCTGACTTCACCTATTCAACATCATTGCCTTCATTTTGAATGTGAGGAAATAAAGGCTTCACTTGGATTCCCTGCAGCAACCACACAATGAAGTTGCATCAAGAATTTCAAAAGTACTTACACACATAAGGTCTTTAAGGGTTGTTTCCTGATTTCTATCCAGGCTCCATTCATAGAGTGGTGCAAATGTATTCATTCCTTTATTAAATAGTTTACTTTCTAGGTATGGGGGAATACAGCAGCGAACAAAACATTTTAAAAATATGCCTTTGTGGCATTTATGTCTCACTCCGCAATCGCCTCTCGATTCAAAGTCTCTGCTTTTGAGCCTCATTCTTGGCAGTTGAAAACTCTGGGCTGAAATCCCAACTCTGAAGAAATCAAGCTACCCTGCTATTAAGTAACTCACTCAGTTTTCTTGTCAGTGAGGTTGGAATCATTATGGTTGTTTAGAGGCTAGAATGAGGTGATGTGTGTAAGAGGATTTAGCACTGTGCCTGGTCCATGGCGGGCATCATTCTTTGAAAATCTACTCTTCATGCCAATCCATAGTGGACATAGAGAGGTTTCTCCCTTGGGCTTGGTACTTTGAGTTCTCTTAGTAGTGAATCTGCTTTTATCTTTTTAAAGCCTTTGTGTTGCTCCAAGGTGGCACTGGAATGCCCCTCCATCCCCTCTCAGTGACACTGATTCTTCCTTGTTTTTCTCTTCCCTTCCATCCCAGGTTGTAACATCCCCAATCTCCTCCCTACTGAAATGTTCCTACCCCCAGTGCCATCCCCCAACCTCATGTGACTTCTAAGAAACTGGCTCTCCTTTGTTCTCCTCCCTCCAAGATATGGCCATCCCCTTCTACCCTGCAGAGGAAATTCCCCCAGTTCCAGCCCAACTGAAGCATACCAGGTCCCCCTGCACTGCCCTGCACCAAGTCGACCCCTGCTTCCCCCAACCTCTAGACCCCTCCTCACTTGTTCTCCCTGTTCTTCTCGTCCCCTCCCCACAGGTTATGGGCACGCTGCACCTGGCACCGATGCGGGCAAGGCCTTCTGCATGTTCTACGCCGTGCTGGGCATTCCGCTGACGCTGGTCATGTTCCAGAGCCTGGGCGAGCGCATGAACACCTTCGTGCGCTACCTGCTGAAGCGCATCAAGAAGTGCTGTGGCATGCGCAACACTGACGTGTCCATGGAGAACATGGTGACTGTGGGCTTCTTCTCCTGCATGGGGACGCTGTGCATCGGGGCGGCTGCCTTCTCCCAGTGTGAGGAGTGGAGCTTCTTCCACGCCTACTACTACTGCTTCATCACCTTGACTACCATTGGGTTCGGGGACTACGTGGCCCTGCAGACCAAGGGTGCCCTGCAGAAGAAGCCACTCTACGTGGCCTTTAGCTTTATGTATATCCTGGTGGGGCTGACGGTCATCGGGGCCTTCCTCAACCTGGTCGTCCTCAGGTTCTTGACCATGAACAGTGAGGATGAGCGGCGGGATGCCGAAGAGAGGGCATCCCTCGCTGGAAACCGTAACAGCATGGTCATTCACATCCCTGAGGAGCCACGTCCCAGCCGGCCCAGGTACAAGGCGGACGTCGCGGACCTGCAGTCTGTGTGCTCCTGCACCTGCTACCGCTCGCAGGACTATGGCGGCCGCTCAGCGGCTCCTCAGAACTCCTTCAGCGCCAAGCTTGCCCCCCACTACTTCCACTCCATCTCTTACAAGATCGAGGAGATCTCACCAAGCACATTAAAAAACAGCCTCTTCCCATCTCCTATTAGCTCCATCTCTCCTGGGTTACACAGCTTTACCGACCACCAGAGGCTGATGAAACGCCGGAAGTCCGTTTAGGTGTGGGGAGGGAAATGGGACAGAAAAGTCATTTGTCATAGTTGGTGTTAATTTCCATTGGTCCAACTCGTCTTTTCTTATTTATTTATTATTATTGTCATCATTATTACTTTCTCTCCTTCCTCCTTTCTTGGTCTCTTGGTCTCATTTTCCCCCACCTTTCCAGCCAGACAGAGCAGGCCAAAGGGAAATACAGGCCCATTCTCCTCTGAAACTCACATCTGAGCATGAAGCATGGATCTCCTCCTTCCTTCCCAGCAGACTATGCCTTACATTTCTCACCCCACCCGCCCCATCTCTGCAGTGGTTTTCCCGGGACAGATGTGAGACCAAGACCACGGAGACAGAGCTGAGAGGATACCCACCCCAAAGCTGCACACCACGCTCAGAGCCTTCAATCGCCCACCCTTAGTGGTGTCTCTGACCTAACTCCTTTCTCTTTTCCTCCCTAAGGACTGAGTGGCTGTGTGCTTGTGTTTTGTGTGCTTCTGTGTGCACATGTGTTGTGACAAAACGGGAAGTATTAGGTATTCCTTTTTCTTTCCCATCATATATCATAGCCTGCTTTTGGCTGCTTCCAAACAAAAACAAAGACAAAACCCACAAGGTTTTAGATTTATCGTCTTTTGCCAAATCAAGCATGTTTCATGAGCAGTCCTTATCCCTGATGTGTCATGGCCATGTTTTCTAAATGCTAGGTTCTAAATTATATTAAGGTTTTTTTTCGGGGGCGGGTGGGCAAGAAAACCCAGATCATTTTAGCTTGCCAGTTCAAACATTTTTTAAAAAGCATGCACTTTGTTAAACTGGTATGCACTATCAACAAGAAAACTAGAAATGGAATAATCCAAAGCCAGTAACATTAATTTGTAAAAGACATTTTTAATTTTGTCACCTCCAGTTCCAACAATTTACCATGCAACTGGAATCGTCAGGGGAAATGGGAAAATTGTTGGAACCCTAGAGTATCTGTTTTATTTTCCTCTTATTGATGATTTTGTGCAGCACCTACCTGCATAAATAATTATTGTGTTGGAATGCTTGGGTGAGAATGGGTATTAGTATGTGGCTGTGTTTCCTTTTCCTAATGAAAAGTGACAGGGCATTCCTCATTAAAAATACATATCTATTTCAAGAAATATCGTCTCTAATTGCATTTGATTTGTAAATAGGGGAAAGTTCACATTGGTCTCAGGAAGAGTTTAGAGGCAAGGAGCTTTGTCTTGGCCTACTGGGAACTTGCCAATCTCAGGGGACAATTTTGTCTGAGTAGTGTAGAAATTCCTCCCTGCTCTCAATAGGGGATGACCCCAAAGTCATCAGGCTGTAGAATATGGCACATTGGAGGCTCTTATAGTAACAGGATTTAAGGACAGTTTGACCTCCAGATTCACTGAGGGGACTTTAATTTCCCTCATTACCATCCCTGCCATTTTCTAAAAATCACCCATTCATCCATCCTCCCATTCCTCTTTTGTAAACGAAGTTCATGGCTCTTGCATGGAAATGGACCTTGGCTGTACTCAGAAGGAACACGTTTACTGGCCTGTCTCAAGGCCCCAACGAGATCTCCCAGAAAGGAGGCTTTGCTCCCTAGAAAGAGTAGACCTACAGGATTTCTTAAAGGAGACAACATCTGAATGCCACCAGTCCCAAGCATTTGGGCCAATGGGCTGAAACACTGGAGCATTCAAGACTCCTCTGAAAAGGCTGTGCATGTACTTTAATGCTACATCCCATGTTGAAATTTCCCCTTCGTCCAGGACACAGGGCCTTCGAAGGAGTCTGCGAACCTCAGATTCTCTAGGCCAAAGTTGACAGTTCTCAACCTTCAAGGTCTTTATTGATTTACTTGTTTTAAGATTTTGTTTTATGGGAGGCCCTACTTGGGGCTCTAAAATCTGTCCAGAGAATAGCAGCAGTTCTTTTCACTTTTTTTTTCTCTTGGATGAGTTTGTTGACTCTAGGGGGTCAGAGGTATAAAAGCCCTAATGCATTTGCAGAAGGCTTTGCTTCGGAAGAGTGTGCCTGGAATAAATGTGGGATTCTCATGAAAACCTTTGTAAGAGGTGCCTTCAAATGGTTGGGGGGCGGGGGGGCTGTGATCTGATCTATGATGACACCAAGGCACTGAGAGGGTGATTTGCTCAGTGTCACAGGCTGGCTGTTGACAGAACTGAGACAGGTGTCTCAGTCTGGAGCCCAGGATAGTCCAAGGAGCTGACTTCACACCACCATGTCCTAACTCAGCCCTCGGAGGAGGGCGCCTGCCTGTTTCCCCACTGGGGGCATGCAGCAGGCCCTTGGAGCCAATTAAAGGGACACCGAGTCCACCCCGCATACAGAGCTGGTTTCCACACTACACTATCTGTGTCAAGTTGGTCATATAGGAGCCCTACTTCTGCTTGAATGCCTCAAGTAACAAGGAGCTTCTCTATTCCCAAGAACTGTAGAAAAACATTCTCTATTCTATAGGATTAAGGATTATAGGATGAAGTCTTTTCTCCTCACATGACCACTGACATAAGTATCTGAGGCAACTTGTAATTTATCTTGGCTCTATTTCCCTCTTATGTCTTCTCTTTGCTACTGGTTTAGCCCTTTGAAGGATGGTCACTGAGTCTTCTCTTTCAAAGTTAAACATCCTTGTTTATGGTCAGTGTTTAGGGGATGGAGGCAAACCTTGGTTTGCTTGGTGATGTTCATCTTTTGCTCAGATGGTCCATCTCTTCCCTACTGTGGTCTGGCCAAGGAGTTATCTAGGTATATCATGAAATGATCTCAGAGTAGGGAGGGCAGGGGCCAAGTTAAAGGTTCAGGGTTCTTTCTTGTCTTAATAAAACAGCGCTAAACAGAGATGCCCAACTTCTACCACTCAATCAGCATTAGAATCAGATCCTCAAAGCCAGGAGGAAGCTTGGTCCAAAGTCATCTCACTGAACAGCCTTTATTTTCAGAGGAGGACATTGAGGTCCAGAGAAGGTGAACACTTACCTAAAGGTCACAGAGGTAGAATCTAGGTCTTCCCACTGATTTCTCTACCATTTTCCTGGCTAATTCTGTTGCTGTTTACAGCCTTCTGAAGATCTTTTGTTGCTGGGTGATTTTAGTTTCTTAGCCCCAGGTCTTCCTCCCTCTTGCACCTAGTAATTTCTTTTCATCCATCCAAGTGATTCTCATACCCTTCTCCCAGTTAACCATGCCCATTCAGTAAGGGGGTCAAAGTCACAGCAGGCTGTTTGGATGTAGGGTTCAACTTCTGTTAGAATGAGCTCAGGAAGAGCCACGTGCTACCAGAATCACCCACGGTCAGCCCACCATCCAGTACCTAGAAATCAGCATACTTTGTAGGTACTTAGGGATCATCAGTACCACTGCCCACCTTCCTCTTATTTGGAGTGGACAGAAGGTAGAGAGCTCTTATAGTTGAAAAGAAGTCAAGTGAGAGTAATATCTCTCAGACCCCTGGGGACAACACTTGCTAGAGACCATCCTGCTATAATCCTCATTGTACCCATCCTGGGTGGAAAGTGCTGTGTTGGCCTTCCGCCTGTTACTCTTATGTAGGACTGAACCCCTCTGGGTTTTGATACTTGGTTATCCCTACAGCTAGTATCAGATCTGCTCTTTCCACCTGCACTGCTTCATCTTGAAACCCTGGCAACAGCCCCTTAAGTACAGGGGGCTGCCTGGCTCTAAATGTGAACCCTCTTGGAAGCATCTGCACGCTCCCACTGTGCATGGCTGATTGGGAGGGGAATGCCTGCATTCAGGCATGGTCACAGCAGCTCATTTGCAGCCCAGGATTCCCCCTGGGTCCATCATCCTTTCAGGAGAGGTGGCAAATAGACTTAGACCACTGCCCACAAAAGCCTCCTTGGGAGGTGCTCATTAAAACCCCACCCATCAAAGAGAGGGAGATTGATGAATCTCAGCTCACCTGTTCCTTATCTGTGCACAGGGCCTTAAGAGAACATCGGGACAGTATGAGAAGCTCACAGATAAGCCTAGGCAGGTCGTTTTTCTCTGCCGCATCCGTATCTGGAAGCCAATGGGTCCTGTTTCTCATTGACAATCACTTACAGCTGGAAGCTAGAGGGAAAAACAGGGTTTCTCAGAGGCCTCCCTTGTCTGTGCACATTGGCCGGGAGAGGGAGGTGAGCAAGGAGAAAATGACCAAAAAACCACCATCACTGAGGCTTATGGCTCCATTTCTTTTTGTAGTGTTTTTTTAAATGACAGGCCCCAAGATACCCTTTGCAGCCCTCTGCAGAGGCACATGCCCCCGTCCTATCAGTGCACTGGCCCTGTCATCAGTGAGGCACTCTGGCAAACTGTGACTTTGTTCTGAAAGTGGTATGACTTGGGGTCTGTCCCATGCGGGCCAGCTGCCTGGGGGTCTAAAGTGGGTTTCCTCCAGAGTTGTGGCCAGCACAGGACCCTGGAAACACCCTGGATGAGGACAGGGTGGCAGGCAGGGGACCTGCCATTGTGCTGTGCTCCACTGAGCTCCTGGAAGTCATTTCACTCCCGGGGCCTCTGGGGCTTCCCCATCAACATAACAAGACAGCTTGGGCAAGATTTATGGGCACTTAGCACAAAACCAATTTGACCCACAAAAGCATTTGGCCGGGATGTTCTGAACCCTGGGCACACTTGAAGCTTGAGCCACCCAGAAGAAAGCCAAAAATCACTTTGTTTGGCAGGGGATGGGGAGCTGGGAAGATGCAGAGGGACCGGCAATAGCAGAGAGCACCATGGTTATCACAAACCAAAGCCACGTGCATTCCGGGCTCCCCAAAGCGCTGAGCATAAATCCATTTTATGTGGTTTTCTCGACCACACCCGATAGAGGCTGCTGATTCAGGAAAACAGGAAGTCTATGACCACGGTCCCCAACACTGACCTATGTTGAAGATCCCAGAATTACAAAGAATGGTCCAATGAGCTTCCCTAGACTTCTCGCCCAGAACCCCAGCCTCAATACTTTGCCACCCTGCTCCCCAGCTCTCACTCAGATGTTTGGACGACGTGTTGTCACGTCTGCAACTTTTCAGTGGTTCCGCCAGAGAAGAAATTGTCTGCCATGAACAAGTGCACTTTCCTAATGGTGCCATTGTCACGCCTAAGAAACATAGCATTCATACAATATTATTGTCTGGAACAATCTGTATGTAAATCCCCAATTGTCCCAAAAATATCAAGAGCTTGAGTCTAAAATACAACCCAAGACCGCCTCTCACAATTGCTTGTCTTGTTCCAGACTTCCCCTGAATAGGACGTCCCCGTCACCATTTCTGTCTTCACGATGTTGGCCTTTTTGACGAGTCCCGGCCAGGGTCTTGTAGAATAATGCCCCGTGATCTCCTCTGCTTGTTTCCTCAGATTAAGACACTTTTGGCCAAAAAAAAAAAAAAAAAAAAAAAAAACAGTTGATGTCAAGCAGTCGTGATTTATGCATTTAGTGTTTGGCTCTCTGGGGACCTCTGTGGTAACTGCTTTCAGTGTGGATAAATAAGTCGTATTAAATGTTGTTTTCCTCTGTCAGGGGAACTAACTGCACATCCAAGAGAGGCGTCTGTGGATGCTGGGTCTCACTGCCAAAGCCGAACACGGCTTCGGGATTTCTGCCTTCTCACGTGGACCTCTGCTGTGCTGGGCGAATGCCACTACTCATTCCCCTAAACACCTGTGGGGATGGTCCAGCTACACATAGATGGGAAGCCCAGAGAAATGCTCGATGTGAGGGTCCCCGCAAGCCAGTTGGGCTGTTTCGGCACCCGCCCCCCAAAGCTCCTCAATGAGGAGCAGAGACTGCCAAGCCCTTCCACTCATTCATCATCATAAAAATGTAACTTGCTATGGCAGCCTCTTGGCCATTAAGGGCTATCCTTTGTGACCTCTGTCCTTGAGATCTTTGCTCTGGCAAGTTCTATAGCCTTCTCAGTGCTGCTATCGTGATGCAGTCTGCCTGCTGTGGCTAAGTAACCTTTCGTTTTGATCAAGATTTGTCCATGCAGACTCCTACCTCTGCGCCTTTCCCCGTGCCGTTCCCACTACCTGGAAGGTCTCCCTGTTGCTCTCCAGCTTTGAGGTGGAGACAGAGCATCTCACACCTCCTTTTGGTGTCTCCTGACCCTTTTGCTCCCTGTTGGACTTGGCAATGTCCTCTTCTGGGCTCCCCTAGTCCTTGTTTTGGTCATGAGCGACCGCGCCGGGGAGCAAACCTTCTGTGGCCCCAGCCACAGGAGCAGCAAGCACTGGGCAGTGCCCCAGAGGCAACGACCATCGCGAGAATAAAGGCACTGAGATGTCTGGCATCTTGCCCAAATGGCCACTCATCACCGTGATTGAGGCATGTCTTAACTTGCTGAAGTGGAAACAGGGTAACTCGATGCACACCTCTGCACCATCCCTGGAAACCAATCCAGATCTATGAGAAGAAAACTGGTCATCATAGCGTTGGTGATTCAACAGCACCTGCCCGGCAGGGTGGAGTGTGCCCCATACAACAGGGCTGGAAGCTGCCACGCCAGGCGTTTCTCATAAGGTGGCTGACAGGGATGGCACCAGACTACAGGAGCATACTTGCGATGTCACTCTGAAGAAGTTGGGCCCCGTGATGGGAATGTCATCAGGAAACTGGGTCTGCACTGTTTTCTTGTGGCAACACTTCTGGTGGAGGCTGCGAGGGGATGGGGACATGCACCATGAGTGACTCAGGATCCCCAGCCTCTGTGGCCTGGCTCCTGCCCACCCCTAGCTCTGGGGCCTTGAGAGAGGCAAGCACACGCTCTTCTCGCCTCCAGAGAGCAGCGTAGGGGTGTGGATGCTGCTCAGGCCCTGGCATCTCGCACGCCTGGGACCAGCCTCTGCCATTCACAGGTGGGTGGTGGTTTTGCCTCTCTGAGCTTCAGTTTCCTCACCTTTAAATTGGAGATTATACATAACCCCTACTGCAAAGGGTGCCTGTGAAGACTAGATGTGATGTGATGATATTTAATGGCACCTGCTGTGTGCCAAGCACCCCGCCAGTGTTCTTATACATGTTTGCATTTCTCATAAAAGGCCCATGTCTCCCAGAGGAAGTTACTCTGGGGGCATTGGACTTGAAATCAAACTATGGCGGGGGCGGGGGGGAAGTGATCAAGTCTGGTTGAGGAACTCAGGCAGGGCCTTCACTGGGGAAATGGGATTCGGAAATCATTGAGGTGAGCCTTAGAGGAGCAAATGGGTGCTATTTTAGGCAGAGACACAGCACAGGCAAAGGCATGGGCCAAGGCCCGGGAGTGCGACAGTACAGGGGGCACAGATTCCATCCCACCATCAGTGGAATCCTGCCACTCTTGGGAGAGATCAGACAGCATAAATCTCAAGGCCCTCCACAAGCTGGCCACATCCTAAGTCATTCAAGCCATTCTTCTGCTCAAGAACCTTCCCTGGCTCCCTAGTGCCCACAAAGTTAGTTTCTGTTAAGGTCCTGCACTCTAACCACCATAGCCTGAGTCTCAGGATTTCCAGGAGGCACTGTCCATCTAGATGTCCCTCCTGGGTCCTCCACCCATAATAAAATTCATAAAATAGATCCTGGAGTCTCCCCAAACTTGAATTCTGTGGTAGCCTCTTGGTTGGGTGGGGTTGTTTTTCTTTGACAGGTGGTGGACATTAGCTCAAATTTGCATATGGGGAACTTTCTGGAGAAGATCTTGGTCTTTCACTTAAGCATCCTGGGGTCTTATCCTGACGAAGTCTTCTGCCGGTTTTACCAAAGACTAGCATGAAACTAACAAAAGGAAAATGTGGTATAAAATAAGTTCTTATGCTTACTTGGCATGAGGAACTTGTTTCCTGATTGATTTCATGAACAACAGTGAGCATGACCCCCTACATCTGTGCCCTCTGGGACTGAAGTTGGCTAAGGCCTTGTAGGCACTTGCTCCCCCGACCCCCAGGAGATGAGACCTCTCTGTGGGTCTGTCACCCAGCACAGGGTCCTCTGAGGGTGTCAGATGATCCAGGAATGCCTACTGTCATGGTGAGTGCTGGTGACCCAGAGGTGGCAGCTCCTGGTAAGAAGCTCTGGGTACAAAGCTGTCCCCATCAGGACTTAGAAATATGAGCTTGATTTTGAAATGAGGCCTTTGGGTGGCAGAAGCTGAGGGAGGGCAGAGGCTGGGGTGAGGGTGGGATGATATACAGGAAAGAAGTCAAGTCTAGGGAACCTGGGTGGAATCAAAACTCAGACTTTCTCTTTGTGATTTGCTGTGTGACCTAGGGCAAGGCACCCCACTCCTCTGGGCCTGAGTTTTCTAACTTCTAAAGGGTCTGGCCAAGCTCCCAAGGCCCACTTCACCCCACCCCAGTGTCCACTGTGGACAGAATGCCGGTCTGGGGAGGACAGACTGGGAGGACTAGCTGGGCTGACTTCAGTTGCGTTGGAAAATCTGTCCCCCGACACTTTCTGTTGCAAGTGAATCTCAGATGCTTTATTTTTAATGACATATGGATCCTTAATTAACCAACAGCCCTTTGCAATCTTTGCTTAATTTCTTGGTAGGCTCTCCTCCTGTCCTCACCACATGAGGTACCCTGCTCTAAAGGAAGAGAGCCTTAGCCAGTTGAGCTGTGAGTCATCAGTATTTGCAGAGCAGCCCACAGGCCTGGCCCCTGGAGCTCACCCCTTCCTGGTGAGAGAGGGGTCTGCTCCTGCCCAGCATTTACCTTTGGGCTTGGCCCGAAGCAGCTGTTCCACCCTGCTGTGTCTTCCTCTGGGTTGTCCTCACTCCAGGGTTCTCTTTGCTTCATGGGAGAATATGTCCCCCCACCGCCTTTTGAGGGCCACTTGGCCCAGCAAAGGGCCTTGCCTCCGGTCAGCTCAGCTCAGCTGGGGCCCAGACCTCTTAGACTTGCCTATAGTGTAGCACTGTGCAAGTGAAGATGTTTCTTCCCATTGGCACACTCTCACTCTTCATGCTCGGTGGTAGGGGAGTGGTGGTAGTGGTGGTGGTGGTGGTGGTGGTGGTAGTGGTGGTGGTGGTGGTGTGGGGGCACAGAGCACTCCCATTTGGCATATGGGGTAACAGGGCTCAGAAAAGTGGCAAAGCTGGAACTCCAAGTCAGCTGTCCTGACTGTACATTTCCAGGTACCTCTCCGGAAGCTCGAGGGGTG